AAGGTCTGATCAACAGTTTTGATACAATTGCATGTAATGATAGAAATTAATGTCAGTGTCACTGAGTGGTGCCATTAAGAGCTCTTGCAACTTATTTTCTAAAAAGATTTGTTGTTTTATAAATGACATGTAGCTCCTCCCACTCTCTCTTCAAATGCTGTATATACTTTGTTTCTCTATTTATTGGTTGTGGTATATTTGTGCCTGGACTGTTACATCTGCGTTGCATGTGTGTGCGCACATTTGTTCACCTCTCTGTGCAAAGATGGTTTTAACTACAGATACGTGTCAAATACAGCGCGCTGCACCCATGTACAGGTTTTTTGTTTCCTGTACTCCTGGTTCAGTATTTAGCCATGAGAAGTGTAACCAAGACTTATTCATGTGGACAGAAACTAAACCAAGACGGTTGTACTCCAGATGTGGTTCTATTGTTCTTGAAGTGTAAAACGTCTCATTGCCAGTATGAGCTGCTGTATGTTAACAAACCTCGAATAGAGTTTATTTCCATGATGAAGTTGTGCTACAGATGGCTGCATACAGACACTGAGTCTGTTTGGATAAGAGCATGTTTCCTTTACGTTTACCACAGTGAACAGAGCCGCAGAGACAAAGACTGAACACAGGAGGTTGGTTTAAGTTTAAGGCTGAAGAATATTTATCATAGTTCAGACCATAAACAATAAAAAAGATGCAACTCGTCACCATCATGTCACCCTTTGGAGAACCTGGTACACATGTATGTATTTGCTGTTGTGTTAATCCATCCATTTTCTTCCGCTTATCCGGGGCCGGTTCACGGGGGCAGCAGCCCAAGCAGCAAAGCCCAGACCTCCCTCTCCTCAGCCACCTCCTCCAGTTTATCCAGGGGAACACCAAGGCGTTCCCAGGCCAGCCGAGAGATATAATCTCTCCAGCGTGTCCTGGGTCTGTCCCGGGGCCTCCTCCCAGTGGGACATGCCCGAAACACCTCGCCCGGGAAGCGCCCAGGAGGCATCCTTGTCAGATGCCCGAACCACCTCAATGGGCTCCTTTCGATCCATATACATGTTTATCGTTAATCTATATACATGTACTTTAATCTGAGTGATTGGAGCAGCCACATGCAGAACAACAAACAGCAGTGGACACTGTGTACAACTATAATGCAGAAAGGACACAGAAATGATCTGACATGCGATTCTTTTTCCCTAGTTTGTTACAATTTTACATGATAAAACTAACTGCCAGGTAAAAGATAACAGACATGAATCAAATGTGTTTATGTGAAAAACAAAAATGTGTTAAACATATTCATGAAAAGCACTGAAGTGTCTTATGATACTCGTTAAAAACATGCCTGGTTACACATGCATATATGTTTTGTCAATACAACCTGAAACCTGTTAATGTGTAAAATAAATAAATAATAAATGAATTAAATTAAATGCATTTATCGTCAGCTCTGGACATTGTTTCTTAGTTCAGTTAGCAGCTTGTGTGGCGTGTGCACAGCTACAGTTTCAGGGGTGACACAGTGGCTCACCCGGTGGTAAATTAGTGATTAATTTTGTTCCATTGTTAATTAATTCCAACCATTCAGCTGTTGTAAACGGACTTGGATTCCTGTTGACAGAAAATGTTTTTGGGAATAAAATTTGATTCTTATTGGCCTGAGCACTTATAAACTGGCCTACTCTACAACAATGGATCACACAACAGTGCTGTGGGCGACCGTGGCTCAGGGGGTTGGGAATCGCATCTGTAACCGGAAGGTC